TCTGAACTCTTCATATATATATATATATATATATATATATATATATATACACACACACTGAATGATCAATGACAGAATGTAATTAATAATTGAAAAATAATTTTACCAATTTTAACTTCATTTGTTAAGTTCTATGGGATTCAGCTAGACAAGAATTTAAAATTATGAGTTGAAATGACTTGCACAGCCAATTTGATTATACTTAAAAATGTTTAATTTGATGGGAATATTTTACAGTGTTCAGAGAGTACCCTACATGCATTCTGCTTTGATTAGAAAGAAGAGGTGTACTTTATAATATTAATTGAGAGACTGCATGACATACAGGTACTTGAAAAACGAATTACAAGTCAAAAATATCCAAAAACAAAGGAATTCTATCAGAATGGAACAAATACGGATGGGTGATGCAGTGACCCCCACTGGTCAAAGAGTGAAACACGTTACTGTTTCCTGAATTCTAGTTAAAGGGGTCATATCAAGGGGTCAGGGTTTGGCTGGTTAGCATGACCCATTAGGCTCTGCTGCTAGATGCTGTAACTACACCAATTCTGGGGTCTTTCCATTCAAAAGTACCTATATGTATCGTGATTCAAGTTTTCTGCGAGCAACATACAGTACAATACTTCATTCTTTATATTATAGTTTTTATTATCCAACCAATTAATTCCAACCATTAGTCATGGTTGGAGGCATCAGTAAATATTGAGTTTATATGTGGTGCCATCTACATTTATTGGTACAACGCTCATAAATCTAGTAATACTCAAATGTTTAGTAAGTACCTTAGTACTCAATTATGCTACAACCAGGTAAGATGTGCATTTCAAGCACAACTGGTGTAACAGCCCCAGAATAAAAAAAATGAGAAATGCACTTCTAAAACATATAGGCAAAATCATCACTGTCATCTCTGGCGTGGCTTCACCTGTGTGATGGCGTAGTTCTTGTTCTCCCAGATCTTCTTGGCCTCTGATCGTTCTCTCTTGTTGAGGACGGACGGGTTGGGCGTCTCTGGACCCTCGCGTGCAGCTCTCAGTTTGGTGATCAAACCCCACAGACGGGCCTGCCACCGCAACACACCTGGGATGGCATCAGCTACACACACACGCAAACACACACAGCATCATGTTAAAACAGAACGCTGGTATGGTGGTGGTGTCAGTGTACTGGATGAACGGGTTAGAGATCAGGACGTTCACACAGGATGTGTTCTAGTGCTAAAAACATCTAGATGGAGTACAACAGGTGCATTTGGAGGAGATGTAACTCTCATACACTGTTGCTAATGTTTAGCTGAAGAATAAGATGCACATGACTCTTTTTGTAGGTTCCATTTTTTATGAACATATATGTGAAAGTGTATGCAGGTCCTATAACTGTTCTTCATTTCTTTTAGGTTTTTCACATGTGTAAATTTAATATAGTAATAGTAAATATATTCAAATATGATAAGACGAGCATTAAAACAAGATAAAACAGCTAAAATTCAAATTCAAAATCAAAAATAAATTTCATTTTTTATGAACATATATGTGAAAGTGTATGCAGGTCCTATAACTGTTCTTCATTTCTTTTAGGTTTTTCACATGTGTAAATTTAATATAGTAATAGTAAATATATTCAAATATGATAAGACGAGCATTAAAACAAGATAAAACGGCTAAAATTCAAATTCAAAATCAAAAAATCAAAAATCAATTGTTCCAGTTAAAAACAAGGTATCCCACAATCTTGGAAAACCTGGATATATAAGGGAATTTTAAAAGTGTGATTTCTAGAATTGAGAAAATCATGGAAATTAATCAACTTTAAAAAGTAATAAAAATGACTACATTGGAGAGGCTACACATTTTTGTAGTTATGTCAAGCTCTAAAATATTTTATTGGGTCAAAATAATGAATGAATGAATGAATGAATGAAATTCTTATCCTGTAATGATGAGCAGCTGAAAAAAATTCATGTAAATTCACTGGTCATAAAGAGTGTGAACCCTGAAAATTTGTGGAATTATGGAAATTATGTATCACTATTTTACTTATTTTTATTTTATTATTTTAATATAATTAAAATGATATGATTCTTGTAATGATTTTTGTTAAAAATTGTAATAAAATATTTAAAAAGTAATAGAAACTGCTGAGAAATGGCTATTTGTGAGTCAAAAATAGTACTAAAAATAACTTAGTATTTTAACATAATTAAAATAGTAAAAGAAATTTAATCAAAATAAAATGTTAAATATTTTAAAATGTAAAACAATTAAAAATATTGTCTTGGAAAATGCTGAAAAAAATTCATGTAAATTCACTGGTCATAAAGAGTGTGAACCTTGAAAATTTGTGGAATTATGGAAATTATGTATTACTATTTTACTTATTTCTATTTTATTTCTAATTTATTATTTTAAAATAATTAAAATGATACAAAGTTAATAAAAAAAATTTTGTTAAAAATTGCAATAAAATATTTTTAAAAAAAAGTAATAGAAACGGCTGAGAAATTGCTATTTGTGAGTCAAAAATAGTACTAAAAATAACTTATTATTTTAATATAATTAAAATAGTAAAAAAAAATATCAAAATAAAATGTTAAATATTTTAAAATGTAAAACAATTTAAAATATTGTCTTGGAAAATGAGGGGCTTAAAGGTTGAAAACCACTAGTTTAGGGCATCTGAACTTCCCAAAGGAATTTCATGTCACCCACAAACACTCGATGCAATTATGTCCATATGTAAATATGTCATATGTATCTCACCACCAGATTTATCTGACTACTTTACAACTGTCTAAATAGTTTCAAGCTGAGCTATTTCTTATTTGACATGGTGTCCTAAATATGTGGGGGTGAAAAAACAGCGAGACACAACATAGCGTTCTGACACATGATTACATACCCTACAATTAAAATAACGTATTGACCCGAATATAAGACGATATTTTTTTCTTGGAAATACATCTGAAAAAACGCGGTCGTCTTATATTCAGGGTCTAGACTTTGACATGTCAATAATACACCCACAACAATAGGTGGCGCCAAATACGCATAAAACGTCAAGCTCTAAAATATTTTATTGGGTCAAAATAATGAATGAATGAATGAAATTCTTATCCTGTAATGATGAGCAGCTGAAAAAAATTCATGTAAATTCACTGGTCATAAAGAGTGTGAACCTTGAAAATTATGGAAATTATGGAAATTATGTATTACTATTTTACTTATTTCTATTTTATTTCTAATTTATTATTTTAAAATAATTAAAATGATACAAAGTTAATAAAAAAAATTTTGTTAAAAATTGCAATAAAATATTTTTAAAAAAAAGTAATAGAAACGGCTGAGAAATTGCTATTTGTGAGTCAAAAATAGTACTAAAAATAACTTATTATTTTAATATAATTAAAATAGTAAAAAAAAATATCAAAATAAAATGTTAAATATTTTAAAATGTAAAACAATTTAAAATATTGTCTTGGAAAATGAGGGGCTTAAAGGTTGAAAACCACTAGTTTAGGGCATCTGAACTTCCCAAAGGAATTTCATGTCACCCACAAACACTCGATGCAATTATGTCCATATGTAAATATGTCATATGTATCTCACCACCAGATTTATCTGACTACTTTACAACTGTCTAAATAGTTTCAAGCTGAGCTATTTCTTATTTGACATGGTGTCCTAAATATGTGGGGGTGAAAAAACAGCGAGACACAACATAGCGGCCAAAGCGTCTGTCTGACACATGATTACATACCCTACAATTAAAATACAGAACAGATGGATCACTAGAACATGTCCCTCATGAACGGGCCCTCAGTGTCACGTGTCTGAGGTGGAACGGTTTTATCACTCTACTCACTCTTGACGTCCCATAAGATGTCCTGCTCGGGTGGAGCGGCGTACAGAAGGTAGAGGCGCATGGTGTCGAGGCCGTACTGCTGTAGCACCTCCTGCGGGTCCAGCCCGTTGTGTTTGGATTTACTCATCTTCTCCCATGTGACCTGCAGTCGGCTGCCACTGTCCCTCTGAATGGGCTCCGGACCTGCCAGAGGTGATTTTGGCCTGTTTACATCTGCTAATAACATCTGTCATGTGATCTGAGACACATTACTGTTGACAGCTGGTAGTAACATAACCTAAAATAGTTTGGAGTTATTTAAAAAAAAAATATAGCTGCAAGCAGCAATTAAGGGGTCTAGCACAACGGAGGTAAAATGAAGCGAAACATGGATTAGCAGTTATCATTTTATGTCGATATTTTGTGGTAAAATCATATCAATATATAAAATCAATATATTGTTATATATTGTATTGATAACTCATCACTTAAATATTTATCTTATAGTCTGCAAAACTGGATGTTTTTAAATAAACACTGACAAAAACTATATAAGTTTTTGGGCTGGACGATATGACGATATGTATACAACATTTATATAAGTGATCACCCAGCCAGATTTAGATTTACATAAAGCGTTCACAGGCAAATTTGCTTTATGTATTTCCCCAGCTTCGAAATCAGGCACATATAAACGTCAGGAAACACGATTCCTGGCTGCATGTCAATATCCATGGACCACTGGATCTTTGGTAAGTTGTAAGGAACAACAACCTTTAGTTTAAACTTACTACAAAACTCAAAATGGGCGACGCCCAAAAAGGCGAACATTGGAAAAATTCGGTATCGTTCGATTCGGTATGCTGTTCCAAATCTAACGAGAATAATCTCATGATTTTTTGGCCAAACTGGTCAGAAGTTTTAAGCAGAAATGTCAATTTTTTATATCTTCTAACCAGTAGGTGGTGCTGTGCTGAAACTACTCATGTGCCTTCAGGTAATGCTTGTTATAACACATACCAAGTTTGTTCAGAATCTGCTAAGATTGCGAAGATATAACCTCAAGTCCATTTTTGCACTTCGTCAAATTCGTTAACACGGTTTAGCATGTCAAAAAGCTCTTGATAACTTTTTGACAGAATGCTCTGAAGACGATCTGAGCCAATATTGGTGAAAATTGGACAAACCATCTAGAATGTGTTCGAAAAAGTAGATTTTTCGGAAAATTCAAAATTGCGAAAAATCTTCACCCATAGAAATGTCAATGTTTGTGTGCATTCGACTCGGCATTAATCAAGGAATCAGAGTAAAACAGAATTTTGCTTCTAGACGACTATGGTTAAAAAGTTATTAGCATAAACATGAGTGCAAATTTGGCCTGTTGGTGGCGCTAGAGAGTTTGAGTTAAAGACTCCAAATTTAGTGTGGACAACGATGAGACTGTCCTCTATCTGTGTGCCAAATTTCATAACTTTCCCACAATTGGTTCTATGGGCTGCCATAGACTTAGGAAGAAGACGAAGAAGAAAACCAACGGACACAATAGGTGCCTATAAGCAACTTCGGTGCTTGGCCCCTAATAAATAATACTTTTATTCAGCAAGGATGCATTTATTTGATCAAAAGTGACCAAAGCGTTTTTTCCCGAGGCTAGCGTATTTTTTCAATTGTTTTCAATGGGAGCGCTGAGATTTTTTAAAACGCCAGGAGCGTGACGAGGCGCTGAGTGTTGAAGAATGACTTTTTAGTCATCTAACCAATCACAGTTGAGGAGGGGCGGGGCAAATACCACACCGACCAACCGTCACGCCCTGCTTGCGCTACGACTGAACAACAATGGGGAAGTTAACATCGCTTGTGTTTGTGATCTTGCATGTTTGAATCCTCAGGAAGAGACGCAGCTGTGTTTACCATAATAAGCATTTCTCCTCTACACTGTTTACACACAGACGCATTATAAAACCATCACTGAGATCACAGAAATTACAAGCAATTTTGGGAGCCAATTCAGATGCTCCTGCGAGTCTGTTTACCTTGTTGCCTGGCAACAAAAAAAAGGCTATTTTAGATCCAGTATCCACAGAAAGCAAAACAGGAAGTGAGTGAGAAATGTGAGGAGGGCTGTTCACGGCACTGATGCATTTTACACACAAAAATGGCACAAGCTGTCTCACAATTTTACACTCAAGTCAGATTGGCTGGCTTAATGCAATTTTCAGGAGTCCGAGTGCACATATTTTTATCAGTCCACTAGGAAACAAAGCTACCTATATTTTTCAGACATAATAGAGTAAAAAGAGATGCTAGTGTCTTTACCAATGAGGCGACTGATTCTTTTAACTGATGGTGGGGCTTTAAAGGGATAGTTCACCCAAAAATGAAAATTCTGTCATTAATTACTCATATTAATTAAATCTATTTGTTTCAGTTGCACTGCTGTCTATGCAGGGTCAGAAAGCTCTCGGATTTCATCAGAAATCTCTTAATTTGTATCCTGAATATGAACGAAGGTCTTACGGGTTTGGAACGACACGAGGGTGAGCAATTAAAGGTGAGGTAAGCGATTTTTCAAAAACACTTTAGAAAACCGTTTCGGGCCGAATAGCAAAACAAACTTGTAGCCAATCAGCAGTAAGGGGCGTGTCTACTCAGGATGTGGAGGAGAGCGCGTTCAGTGCACGGGACGGACATTAGCCGAGCCGAGCGACAGAAAGATAGAGATGGCGGATAAAAAACGAACGCAGCAGCAGTTTTGCTTTGTTTCACAGAACTAATCCGTTGCGTACGTATGTGTGGGGCGGAGCTATCAAAATAGGGGCGAGACACTTTTGGGGTAGGGGCATGTTTGTTTTGGTGATTTCAAATGTCAACATTGGCTACCAGAAATCGCTTACCCCACCTTTAATGACAGAATTTTCATTTTTGGGTGAACCATCCCTTTAATTCCAATAGTATATCCAAAACTATAGGCCTACATATTCTTTGTTTTCAGAGTCATGTGCGATTTGTAACCTCTAAACAGTCCGAGAGTCCGATTCTAAGACAGATGAAACTCTAGCATGAACCAGATTTCACGAATTCGTCACAAACCCCAGAACTGTTGGCAACATACTGTACTTTATATCTTCTTACACACAACACACACCTGAGAAGTCGATGTCCTCTTTCGTGAGGTACTGGCCAGTCTCTGCCACCCTGAACGTCTGCCCCTTTATCAGACCCTGGACCAGCAGCTTTCTGAAGGGCTCCCTGAAATCAAGAGACTGGATGTACATCACTGGTCACCCAATCCAGCATATGAAGGAAATTCAACATGTAAACTAGCTCAAAGCACATGTTCTTAACACTGTCAGTATTTACTCATTCTCATCTTGTTCCAAACCTGTGTTCTGTTATTTTTATTCATGTGGAGGAAAACTTTAGAGACTTTTTTCCCCTTAGAATGGCAAGTTTATATCTTACAATTTTCTCACAAAGTTGTTTTCTTGCAATTTCTCAGAATTGTAAGATAAAAAGTCACAATTTCATTCATTTTTATCCCATGGTGGAAACAAGCTTCCATAGAAAACACCATAGAAGTATAATAAAAATAGTTCATTTGACATGTGAAAAGTCATGACACAAAGCTAGTGAATGCTTTCTGAAAACTTGGACTGCTTTTGTGTGTTTTGTTTAGGGATGCTCCGATCCGCCTTTTTCGCCTCCGATACCGATTCCGATACCTAGGGTTCGGTATTGGCCGATACCGATACCGATCCGATACCAGTGAAGATAAATTTTACATTTTAAATAAATGTAGAATTTATATATCTCTGTGTGTGGAACTGATAATCATTCTTTCACAATCTACTAGATACAGACTACATTATAAAGAAAAATAAAATAAACAAATATGAAAAAATATAGGCCTATGTATATTTATAATCTATGACAAAAATGTATCATAAACTAGGTTAGTGGATAATTCGGCAGCAAAAGTTAAATATAATAATTTTAGAAATCCAAAATCTCGGATTTGGATCGGCCCTCTCTGACCGATACCCGATCCGAGAAAAATGGCACTATCGGAGCCGATACCCGATATGAATATCGGATCGGCGCATCCCTAGTTTTGTTGGTCTTTTTTGAGTTTGAAAGCAGATGGTCACGGTGAACTACCTACTTTTTGTGTTTCACTAAATAAATAAATTAACTAATTTTTCAGATTATTCACTCACCAATTAATGAGTAATCACAGAATTGTCATTTTTGGTTGAACTATTCCATGAATGAATACTTTACACCAGTGGTTCTCATCACAAAATTGGGTGTTATTTATGGGGAGTAGAATTATTTATTTATTTCAATGAATGTAATCGATTAGATATCATAATATTTAGGCTATAATATTATACATCAGGTTGGTTTGTATTGCTGACGTAATATGTAAATGATATGCGTGCGGCCCGCGAGACTTGCACTTGGACCATAGTGCGGCCCGGTGGAAAAAAAGGTTGAGAACCACTGCTTTACACAATTCATCAGTGCACATTTTATGTAAAAGGAAAACTTAAAATCTAATAATTTCTCCTCTGCAAAACAACATTTCTGTAATAAAAAATTATATTATTCCATAATATTATAGCCTACTTTTTATGGTTAACAATTCAGGTTCCATTCATTAATGTTAATTGTCTACATCAGTTAACATGCTTCTATAACACTTCATTTATTAATCTTAATTAAAGGGGTCATATGATGCTGCTAAAAAGAACATTATTTTGTGTATTTGGTGTAATGAAATGTGTTTATGCGGTTTAAAGTAAAAAAAACACATTATTTTCCACATACTGAATCAGTGGTTAAGTTGTATTTACAACACTGTTTCAGAACAGTTTAACCCAAATATCCAGATGTGTGCAGCGCATTTTATGGAGGACTGTTTACTGATCCTGGGAGAGTAACGTTAGACTAAAATGCCGGCAGTTCTGACTCACGTAAGTACGTTTTCAAATGCCTCGTTTGTAATGGGTTTTAAGGGGGTCATATGATGCTACTAAAAAGAACATTATTTTGTGTATTTGGTGTAATGAAATGTGTTTCTGCGGTTTAAAGTTAAAAAAACACATTATTTTCCACATACTGTACATTATTGTTTCTCCTCTATGCCCCGCCTTTTTGAAACGCGTCGATTTTTACAAAGCTCACGTTGCATTGTGCCGCGTAAACATAAAACTCTGTCTGCATTTGTGATCGGAGAAATGACAAACAACAAGCGCTACTCTACACTGCCCAAAACTCACTTTAAAGAAACGGTCTTTGAGCAGAGACGCATTGTAGGCTACTCTGCAGGTTCAGGAAACGGTCCTCCATTGCATCACACACGGCGGCTAGAGTGAGCGGAGCCCGGCGGGCTTGAGAACGGCGTGGCCGGCGGATTTGACGAAGGAGCGGCGTGCGGGCTTGCGGCAACCACATGTGGCGACCCCGGGCTGGACTCCGCTTCACGTGTTAGAACGAGCCGTTTTAGGTAGGCGTGGCTGACTCTTAACTTTTATAAAGAATATCTCTTTGGATTTGAGACTTTAGTCTTTGCAACTTTACAGATCTTTTTTATGCATCATGAGCTTGTAACACTCCAAAGAGAAAGGAAAAATTGAAATCGCATCATATGACCCCTTTAATGTTAACTTCAACATTTACGAAAAACAGCATTGAAATCAGAAGTTATATCTGTTAATATTATGTGAAGGGATCGTTCACACAAAAAAAATGAAACTTCTGTCATCATTTACCAAACAGTTGACGGTAGCCATTGACTTCCATAGTATATATTTTTTTCCATACTATGGAAGTCAATGGCTACCGTCAACTGTTTGGCTACCAACATTCTTCAAAATATCTTCTTTTATATTCAACAGAAGAAATTAACTTATACAGGTTTAATTGTAACAAGTAGACGGTGAGTAAATGATGACAGAATTGTAATTTTTGGGTGAACTATCCCTTTAATGCAATTAACTAACATTAGCTAAGGTTAATAAAAGCTGCAACAAATGCATCGCTCATTGTTACTTCATGTTAATTAATGCATTACCTAACTAACTATTTGAACCTTATTGTAAAGTGTTACCAAATTAAGTCACAATGCATAAAATCAGTGGCTCGTTGACTGGCATTAACTTCTTTAATTCAGTTACATAAAAACGTAGATTACTCTAAGTTGAATCTGAAAAATAAGACCGATTACCCCTAGCTAATTGCTAGTTGGTCAGGTCTAGTTCTTAAGACACAGTCTTACATATTGTTTAAACAACTTGGCTGTCTCAACCCACATTATTCCCCAGTGATTCTATATGTTTCACGCTCTCTTCTCATGGCACTCATGGATGTGTGTGTGTGTGTGTGTGTGTGTGTATCGCACCTGTGTGAAACCATGCCCTGGTCTCTGCAGAAGTGGCTGAGGAAGCGTGAGTAGTACAGGTGCATGACGGCGTGCTCCTTCCCTCCGATATAAACATCCACAGGCATCCAGTGATCCGCTCTCGAGCGCTCGAAAGGCCTGCGAGAGGACACAAACACCTCATACTGTATCTGTATTACACGAGAGCGACCACTGGGATGCGCTCATGCACAAACATCAACACTGAAACATGACGAGAGTGTGTGTGTGTGTGTGTGCGACAGGTGTTACAATCTCACAAACTCTCTAAGAACACTTTAATGCTGCCGCTGCTTCATACCGACATCACAATCACGAATAACACATTCAACCGCACACTGAAGGGAGAATGTGAACTGCTAAGTGAATTTAAACAAAACAATAAGCACACTTCAACAGACTGTGATAAACAAACGCGTCACACTCTACATCCACCTGCATCAAACTAACCCTCCATTCGATACAGAACAATAACAGAGCTCAGGAAGTACTGTAATTCCCCCGCGCTTTCTTCATAGAAACGGAGTTAAAGCAACAACGGATCAGCATCTTTGGAAGCACCACAGACTAGAACAGTCTCCACAAACACCTGGTGGGACAGAGAGAGCCAGACAGAGCCGGTTTCCTTACCTCAGCGGGTTCTGAGGGTCAGTGTATCTGAAATAGTACCAGGAGGAATCCACAAAGGTGTCCATGGTGTCTGTTTCTCTCTCCGCCGGCTCTTTACACCTGATATCAACAGGAGGAAGAGTGTAAGTGCTGGGCTAGTAGATATGCTTCATTTCAAGAAACGGTGCGTTTTGTGCCACCATGACTCATAGTTAACAGAATACTAAACTTGGTCATACTATGTGACATATTTAAAGGTGATGTGCATACTAAAGCTAAAATATTAATATCTCATGTTCCAACTTAATATACAAAGTAAAGCAAGTCATTCAGTCTCTTTTCAATCCCATTAGGGGACATTCACACACAACATGTTTTTGGATTTAAAAACGCAGGGCAGTGGGATGACGTTTTTTCAGTTAATCTTTTTAATTTGTGCACCACAGTTTTAGACTTTTATGTCATGCACGAGACGCTGCAAAACCCTCGATGCGAGTACAAACACATTAATCTAGCATGTTTACTCAGAGAAAAAAACATTACTCCCAGGGATTTTTAGAGAGTGTTTTCTGCACAAGCAAACAAACAGATATTACCCATGTTGTGAATATTCTGTTCTAATTAAACGGGATTAGGTTAAAAATGAACGTGTAACAAGAAATAATGCCAAAACACGTCTTTTTATATCTGAATCTATCTTGGCTGATTCCATTTAGAAACGGGCATACAAGAGCGACCAGTCAGATTCACGGAGGATTGACTCTTATGAGCCGGTTCTTTTAATGAATAGCTCAAAGTGACTCGCGAGTCTGAATGACGAATCATTCGCTGAATCACTGAAATGACTTCAGTGAATTTGTCAGAGACGGTACTGAATTCACATTGGGTTGGGACCGGTTAGTGTCACTTAACCACTGCTGGTAGAAACTAGGCTACACCCTTATAATGATGGCCGTTCAAAGTAACTTTGTAGTATTTTAATTAAATATTAAATATGTCATCATTATATTATTATAACGACATTATAGATTTTGGAAGGCACTTAAAAACATGAAACGGACTTATTTCTTCCTGCCTGCTGCCTTTGACGAGAAAAGGAAACTAGTTGTTCATAAAATAACGTTAGGCTATTAGTTAAACTGTTACCCGCTGAAAAATGTGAGTATTTTCTTATTAATCTAGCATTTTTAATTATAAAAAAAAAAAAAAAAAAAAAAGCCTTTTAAAATTTCTTATTTGATCTTTTTGACATCATATTTAAACCTTTTTGAACAGATGGTTCAAACAGATGCTTTCACCAATTCACCAACTCTATAAATGTTCAACCCTTAAACTTTTACAGTGTGACAGATTTGGCAAAAAAAATATTTTGACAGAAAAAATCCATTAAATAAAATCATTTGTTTAATGAAACGTGATTTATAACAATACAGACTGAAACCGAGTGATACTACCATTCATTCAAATTATGATCTATTCATATTATAACCAGTGTTATTTTATATCATTGAGATACTATTCTAGCTTTAATTATTATTTAGAATTTTATTATTTTATTATTATTTTGAATTTATTTTTTTATTTAGTTGTTTTGTTATTTTTAGTGTTTTATTATATTATTATTATTATTAATGTCTATTTTTATTTAAATTTTAGTTCCAGTTTTATTTTAGTAAATCAAGTACAACTAAATTAAAATGAGAAGTGCTGCCTTGACAAGTAGCTGAAATAATATATATATATATATATATATATAAT